TTTGTAGGGATGCGAGGTCAATGGTCTAACGACTACGGCATGCACGACTATGAGTACACCCCCCCCCCTACGTAGCCCGAGGCTTTTCCCTGCGACAGCAGCCTTTTCTGCTCACATTGCGGCGCGAGGAGGTTTGACGTTGTCTCCTGGAGACTTTTCCTGTGTTTCTTTGCGGCGGCGCTTGGCTGTAGTAGGTTCTGGTTGGCTTGACTTTGTGCGCGTGGTTGATGCTTTCACCACCTGGGGCCTAACAACGGCCGTGCTCCCTTCTTCTGGCATGCTATTATAGTCGAAACGATAATCTGGTCATGTACGATGTGTATACAGCTCACGACGCTAAGCCAAACAATGCCGTGAACGTGTCGGAAAAATCCTGACGAATAGAGAGCGTTCCGTCTTTGGGGGGGGGGGGGGGNGGGGGGGGGGGGGGTGCTGTCGGTCGATCCGATAGGTCGTGCTTGAAATGCAGCCCACCAGTGAGCTCAGGGCGCAGAATGAAAAATCTAGACAACGTTCTTTGGCATTAGAATGATCCGGTACTACCCATGTTTGTGTTCGTCTAACTATTTGTTGCAGCACAACTGGTCGCGTTGTCCTAATGACTCACTGGTGATCAGACGCCAGCCTGAATCGGGACACGTCTCAGGTGGCTTCCTTCGTATGCGTCTGTGTTCCCGTTGGTGGCCTTCGGCATATTTATGCACACGTCTTTTTATATCTTCTTGTTTTTATGGCCGTTTTGATCGTACGTCGAGGTCAGCTGTTGGACGCGGTGGAGTGCGGGGGCTACGAGGCCAAGCTGCACGCCGTAGACGATGATGGCGACGTCGAGCTTGTCGACCCCGAAGTGAAGGCAGCCAAGGTGACTGCTAAAATATATCGCCTAGCCGGCGTCCGTGCGCGCCATCGGTTTGTGTTCGATGCTGGCATCGACCCATGGCCCAAACACCGGATGCCATTGGTTGTGTTTGTTGTTGGCATCGACAAGCCGGCTGACAAATGGAATTACGTCGCTCGCTCATTGGGGGCGAAAAAGCGGGAAAGCCTCTATGGCCACGATCTGTGACCCCAGTACTCCTGGAGTACACTTTAATATGTATGGTAGATAATAGGTGCATCACAAGGGAGGCTAGGTTTTCCCCGGATGGAAGACAACAAACGTTAGGAATGCGTGCATGCGTGCGAGTTTCTTATTTTTTGGCATCCGGCGGGCCGACCGGCTGACCAATGAAAATTCGTCAGTCTATGTGTGACCATGTTATATCAGGAAAAGCCTGATGGTGTGTGTGTCCAGCGGCTTGTGTTTATTTTGCTGCGTGGGCTTCCTCCCTTCGCATCGACCGCGTCATCCAGCAAACAACCGTCACCTCGGTGTGGCCACAACTGTGCGTGTGCGCGCACGCACGGGTGTGGTTCCTGTTACCACAGTAGTATCAATCTGCAACCTGCTTCGTGCTCTGTTTCCGCGAGATGTCCGCACGGAGCTACGGCGGCAACCTCTTGTCCCGCCCCTACATCCCGTCCTTGCCACCTACGCACTTTTCGTCCTGTTCGTTTTGCCTGTTTCTTGTGGTGGCATGGTAGATGAGAGCGGCGATCAAAAGCGCTAGGAAGGTATTCTTGTTGAGCCTGGTGTTCTCCTTGCCATTGATGGCGGTTAGCATGGGCTTCCGGAGCAAGGCTAAAGGAGGTCTGAGCGAAGGTGAGATTTGGCGATTGTTTATCAAGCTTCCTCAATGTCCTCTCCCTTCCCTTGCTGTTGTTGCTGCAGCTGCTGCTGCTGCTGCTGACATCTCATGTTGGTGTTGTTGTGGCCGCTGTTCGTGTTGTTGTTGTTGTTGATCGCAACTCAGCAAGCCGGCAAGTGTTTTTTGATGCGTTCCACCCTCTATGTCAGCGTTTTTCTCGCACCACATGACATTCCCCGCTTTTCACGAAACCCCCATCGTTTTGCCTCTCTGTCGCTCTTGGCTCTCTGTTGTCTGTCTCTCCCTGTTTTCTCCACCTCCATCCCCCTCGCCCAATGTCGCTCCGACACTCGAACGGAATCGACAACCACCACGCGCAGTCCTATTCACTGAAGTGGCGCCCGGCCTGTCGGTGCGGTCAATCATCGAGTGGGTCTTGGCTACGCCTGTTCAGTTCGGCTGCGGCGCGAGGTTTTACAGGTAATCTCGGCTTTTATCTTTTGACGCCCTGCGCGCGTTGTGGCCGAGGTCTTGGGGCTCAAGCGTGAGAGGGCCAAGTAGAGTGTTGGTCCGGGGGCAATGAGATAAACCGCAACGCGCTTGTCCCCGCGTTCCCGCTAACTGCTGTGCTACACCAGCGCTTGCAACACGCGGAGTCAATCGACGGCCAGAACGAAGACGTAGCGCCAAACAACAAGCACCTGCTGTGTTCTGTTGGTTATGTCTACCGGCGTCGCGTTGTCGAGACGTGGAAGCCCTTGTCTGCTGTGTGTCGACGACTTTGATCGGGAGGCCGATCCGAATGCTCGGCGTGAGGGGTACGAGCGCAACAAAGCATGTGTCGGTCAGTGAAGCACTGTTCGCTGATGCTGCGGGAGCTGACGAGACTTTGGGTGGTTCTTTTTGGCTGTTTGTGGGCTGATACCACCGTTTCAGGTCGGCGGCGAAGGATCTGCGCAACAGGGCCCTCGGCATGAACTTCTTGGTTGCGGGAGGCACGACGGCCGCCTACCTCTACAGCGTCGTCCTCGTCCTCCTCGCCGTCTCCACCGCTCAGGTGTGTACGCGCGTACCCCTTAGCTTCCAAGCAGGCAGGCAGCACACCCTTTCTTCTCCGCCTTGCTGTTGTTGTTGTTGTTGTTGTTGTTGTTGTTGTTGTTGTTGTCTTTCCACGTTAAGAAACCGTTTCGATTGGTGCTGAGTACCTCCTTCGAACATCCGCACTGGTCCAGCTGATGCGCACGCGTCTTTGGTCACAGGCTAGCCCTCACCTGCCGGTTATTCACCCCCATATTTTCTCCCAGGCGCACTCGGCGATGCTCTTCTTTGAAACGTCGGGTGTCCTGATTTCGTTCGTGCTTCTCGGGAAGTGGCTGGAGCTGATGGCCAGGGGGAAGGCTTCGAACGCGGTGAGCCTCAGCCGCCGATAAAGCCGAATGCATGAACCCACAAAACCGGATGCATAGACCCACGACGGGCTGATACAACTCAGCAGCTCTCTGGAAAACTTGTCGCGCTGCATTTCTTGTTGTCGTTGAGATACATCACTCTCTTTCTCTCTCTCAACGTTCGACGTTATGTTTGGCCCCCACGGCGCGCGCGCCCGCTTCGCACGCCACTTGTGCGGTTTTTCGCCGGTCTTTATCTGGGCACCCCTAGCTCACGGTCTCCCCCGCGCGCAAGCCAGGCACCCGGATCGATCCGACGCACAACTAGTACATCTATTTAAGCTAGCCCACTGCCGGTCGCCGGAGACAGTTCAGTTGTGCACGCCCCTGGGTACGCGGATTCCTCACCGGCCCCCGGCCCGGGTGATGTTCCCTCAAGAGGCTGTTCGAGCTTCGGTTGTAGAGCCCATGACGACGTCCGAGCAATTTCGACGGCCCGGTGCCAACACACGGGGCGCCAGCGCCAAATGTTGGTTCTCCCCCTGTCCCCCCCGCGTGATGCCGATGCCGAGCCGGTCGGCTGCGTACCGCGTCGTTCAAACACGGGAGTCTTCGCCCAGCGAGCGCGCTTCAAACTAGCGTGTCCTGAGCCCTTGTATATATTCACCGTGAAATGGCTTCTCGAAACAACATGGATGTATGTCATAGAAGACGTCGTCTACTAGACATTTCACGCTGAAAAACAACAGCTACAACGACAACGACAACAGGAACGTGTATCCATGAGATGTGTTCTCGGACCTTTGTCAGCGCGCCGATCTCCGTGTCGGGACCTGAAAGAAAGAGAGACAACTCCAGCGCATGCAGGAATACGCGTTCCAGTAACGCTTGGTCACCAACGAGTTTCGAGTGAATCGAGTAAGCATCGTGCGGGTGTCGGCTTGGCAGGTCGGGAAGCTCCTGGATCTCCGTGCGGACCGGGCCGTGCTCGTCTCCGACTGGCCGTTGTGCGAGCTCTCGGGCGAGAAGGACGAGGACGCTTCTGCTTTGGTCGTGGGGGACGTGGTCAAGGTCGTCAGGGGCGCCAAGGTTTGGAAAAGGCTTGCTCGGTGTGGTTGTTGTTGTTGTTGTTGCTGTTGGTGTTGTTGCTGTTGGTGTTGTTGCTGTTCTTGTTGGCGGTGGTCGTGATGGCGGTGGTGGGGATGGGGGTGTTGCATGTGTGCGTGCCTGTCGGTTGTTGGAAATTTCATTGCTGTCTTTCCGCGTGTAAACGGTAAGATCGAAAGCCGCCGCTGCGTTGGTGTCGAACTCCCTTGGATAGCACCCCGTTCGGCGACGGGACATGAGAGCGCTGAAACTAGGACGACGAAGTAGTTGAGTTTTTGTTTCTCGTCATTTTTTTGCGCCCGTTCTTGACCCGATTTAAGGTGCCGGCCGACGGCGTGGTGTTGCGAGGTAACGCTGCCGTGGACGAGAGCATGGTCACAGGAGAGTCCATGCCGGTCCACAAAGAAGAGGGGTCGGAGGTCATCGGTGCGACGGTGAGGCTCAGCGAAGTGTTGTCGTTCTTGTTGTGTTGTATTATGTCGTTGTTGCTGTTGCTGAATCTATAGCCTCCTCCACAGCAATTGTTGGTGTAGTTGCTGGTGCTGCTGCTGGTGCTGTTGGTGTTGTTGCTGCTTTCTTAGCGACGTGGTAAACCCCTCCGCCTAATGGTAGTGCTCTCTCGGCAGGTGTGCAGCGAGGGTTTGGTGTACGTCAGGGTCACCCGCACAGGGAAAGCCTCCGCTTTGCACCAGATCGTCAGGCTTGTCGAGCAGGCACAGGTGGGTGGGTAGCCACAATTTTGAATTATTGCGCTGCTTTGATCTCAAGTGGACGTCGCCCGACCTCTTTGGTGGACGGGAGGGTTTTTAATGGCCTTGGTCTTACGGGTCTACATACCTCGATAGACCTTCAGGGGTCTCTGCGTTAAGCAATCTCGCCAAGGTTTTGCGTTGCACACGTACTATGTAGCCCGTGCTAGGACGTTGCTGTTTTGCGAATACGCTTGGTAGACCTGCGGTCGCAGTCCACTGATCCTGATCAGAGGCATGCCAAGCAGACACAACACATTTTGGCGCAAGGGGACACCTTGGGGGTCTAAAGGGCGTTGACTTGTGATCCATGTCTTCCCTCAAGAGTGACCTGACAATGGGAATGTTGTCGGGCGAATTGTGTCGCTGCTCCCGGCGCGGGGGTGCTATCCTGGCAGAGATGACCACTTCTGACGGGTCTAGGACGGCATGAAGGCGTTCATCAGATGCAATCATTTTGGAGTTTTAGGCGCGGTTGAGACGCACCGAGCTTTTCTTCGTCGTCGCCATTCAGAGGGCCGCCACAAAACACGAGCGACAACAACCGCAGCCGCGCAGGCGCAGTCGCAGCATTTTCAACACCACACCGACACCAACGCAAACAACACCCGCATCATCGCACCATTGACAAAAGCAGCACCAACCACAATTCGAACGGCCCGCCCTTGCGCCCCCCGCTTCCTTAGCTTGACCCCCCCCTCTGGCACCCCTTTTGTCGCACGCACGCGGCCGAACAGGGATCGAAGGCGCCCATCCAAGCGGTCGGCGACCGTGTTGCGGCCGTGTTTGTGCCATGCGTGGTGTGCCTCTCGCTGCTTACCCTCGTCGTCTGGCTTGCGCTAACCATGTCCGGAGCGGTTCCTAGGCACTGGTACCGGGACCAGCCCGGGAGCCCAGGTAACTCACTCACTTGGGTTTCAGTCAAGGTTGTGAAGCGTAGGCGTGCATGTTGCCAGTCAGGGACTCATAGCCGTGCATGCCGTAGTCGTTGGGCCTTCGACCTTGCATCCCATCAGAGCCGGGATGGAGCACGCCGGGTTCTCACCGCCAGCCAGGGGGAGGGGTCAATCGGCGTGCCGGGAATCGGTGTGAGCTTTCGCTGGTTTTGCTGTTGAAAGTTGCATGGTTCCGTTTTAAGGTGATAAGTGTGGGCGACGAGGTAGTTCCAACGTTGACCACAACAAAGTTTTTGGTATGCCCCAGTCGAACGGCGAGAGTCATTCACCTGTAGAGGTGTGCAGAAATCATCATTGCCGACGGATTCCATTTTAACGATGTGGCGGTTCAGGTGGCGGTTCAGTTGATTGGTTGCAAGTCGCTTGGCGTCCGTGTTCTTTTTCCCGAACGAACGATGCGTCGCTCCACCCCACTTTCTGCCATCCATTCGCAGGACCCGCGCTGTTCTCGTTTATGTTCTCTCTCGCCGTGATGGTAATCGCGTGCCCCTGTGCCGTGGGGCTGGCAGCCCCTACTGCCATTCTGGTGAGTCATATGCCCCCCTCAACACGCAAGGCCGTCTGTACGCATTTTTTTAATTGCGTTGTATTGGTGTCGTCCGCTCTCACCCCCGGCAACGACAGGACTCCTCGCCCTGTAGAACGAGGAACGACCGTGGCTACGTTTACCCTGGCGCATATTCCCTACCTCCGCTTTTGATTTGCGTAGACCGGGTGGGTACCTCGTAAAAGCCCTCAAAGCGACCTCCTCGATGCCGTGAAACCGCCACCAATCCGAATGTATGTTTTTGGATGCCATATCGCTTTACGACTTGGTTCCACGTACCGATCATCCTTTGCCAGAAAGCTGTGTTCCTTCGCTCTCCCCCCATCCAGCGGCATGAACCTTCGCAATAGCTGGTTTTCCAAGACCCGGACGCACCTCCGCTAAGCCCGTTGCATACCCGCGCTTCTGTTCGGTTGTTCCATGCTTACCCCACCTCGATGCCTCAGCGTGTGTTTTCATTCGCTGTCCACCGACCGCGCTCTCCAGCTGACCACATGTAGTCAAAATACGGAACACGTAACCAACTGCCCTAGTAAGAACTTGGTGTACGTTTTTTTGCACTTTTTATATGAGCTTGGACCCCCAATCCGTGTCCTGGATGGTAGTCTCAAAGTGCGCGCGTGTGTGTATGATTTCCGCGGACGGGAAGAAAGGTGGGCACGGGAGTGGCGGCGAGGCACGGCGTTCTCGTGAAGGGGGGAGCCGCGCTGGAGCGAGTGAGCGAGCTCAAGAGGGTCGTGTTCGACAAGACGGGCACCCTGACCATGGGAAAGCCGAGGGTGAGTTGTAGGCAGTCGGGTATGCGGTACGCTTGCTTGAAGGATGCTGAGTGCCGGCGGCTGGTTGGCTGGTTGATTGGTACAAGGCAGGAGGACGTGAGGCAGGGCCGGGCGGAAGACGTCTCAGAAACTACCGTGCAGTTGGGTCGTGTTGCTGTATGGGATTCGGTGAAAGTTTGGGTTCTGGCGCATGCCTTTGTTGGCCGTTGTGTCGATTCGAATATCGAAGGCCGAGCCACCAACGGGGGGGTGGCGGCGCGAGCCCAGAACGTTTGGTGGGCGTGAGATTTGGAGTTGCGATGGCTACACGCCTATATTGGTCAGTGGGTACGTCTTTGCGAGAAATTCCGTCCAGGAAATCGAGCGCTTCCCCCCTTCCTGAAAGATCGCCTGTGTTTTGCTGCGCTCCCCCCCCAGGCGATGGCGAAGGATATACTTCCATAGACGTCGCGGTCTGTCGCTGTACCGCAGGTCGTTGCATTTTTCTCCATCTTGTACACCAATCTGACCTCTAGTATCCCCTCTCGCCTGATTGTTCCCTCACCTCCTTCGCCCAGGTGACTGAAGTAGCCTACGTTCAATCCAATGGCCTCACCGAGGCCCTGTCCAAGCAGAAGGGAGGGGACGGCGACAGCTTATCCCCCGGTGGAGGTCTCGGCCTCCTCCCTCCTGCCCAAGAGGTGCTCCGTCTCGTCGCCAGCGCGGAGCGGGGTAGCGAACACCCCCTTGCAAAGGTCCGTGTGTGTGTGTGCGTGTTTTCCCCTTTGTTTGATCTTCGTGGCTGGTTGTGCGACTTGGCAGGGAGGGACACGACCTGGACAACGTGTGGGCTGTCTTCGTGTTAGTTCTGTCTCAAGCGTGCGCGTTGAACGTGTCTGTGTCGCCCCGCCTGTAGACTGCGCGTCTTCGGCATGAATTCGAATGACCCAGTGCCGCTGCAAGGTGCGGAGTAATGCGAGTGAGTGGCTCTGTGGTGATTCAACCTCCGCCACGCGATTGGTGTGAGGGACACCGTGCTGCCGCTTTCCCCATTGCACGCGCACCGGGAAGGCTGGCCATTTGACCACTATCATACCTCAACCACCGCGCCCCGCCCCCCCCCCCCCCCCCCCCCCCCCCCCCCCCCCCCCCCCCCCCCCCCCCCCCCCCCCCCCCCCCCC